TTCCTCCCCATCCTATCCCGCCAGATCGCGCCCTCCCCATCCATCTCGGCCCACTCGCGTCGCCTCTTTGCCTACCTAGTCTATGCCTGACTATACCTGTCACCCTCCTTGTTCTGATCCCCTTTTTCCCTTCTATCCCGCCCTTCCCTATTCCCACCACACTCACACGCTCTCTCTCACACCTCCACTCTCTCCTCCACACACTCCTACCTTTTTCTCTCTTCCACACACTCTCTCCTTCTGCCACTCTCTCTTTCTTATTTTCCACGTGTCACTCTCTACTGCGCCGGAAACGGAAGTCAATATATATTTCTATTTTTTAAATTTTACAACATAATTTGCATTAACATGTTCGCAAATTTACATTCAACGAATGTACTCTTTGAATATACGCATACAAAATTAATAATCTGATTAAATTCACATAAATTTTATAACAGTTAATGTGTCGAGGAGAAGTTCCTACTTAGATGTAATGCTCGTTTGTGTCTACACAAGCTGTTTGATTTGTATAGATAAGTCTTTGAATATAAGAATTTTTCGACTTCGACGCATGGCGAAACCTAAGTTGACAGTGTATAAAATTTAAAATTACATTAAAATATAAAAAAAAATATATAATTAAATAATTTTAAATGTGTCGGTGATTATAAAAGTAAACTAAGTCAAAAATTTAAAAAAAAATTAATTTTGTTATTTATTTTGTTAAATTGATTTATAACATTAAAATATCTCAAAATAAAAAATCATCAAAATTTAGTCCACTTTCATAATCACTGTTAAATCAGCAATTAATAAGTAATATAACGTAACGGGGGGCGTTCCTCTTTCGAAGCGCCGCCCGCGGCACCCACACATTGTCCATTGTGCCTCCCCTCATAAACTTACTTATGAGAGACCTGTTTTTCTCCAAAAGAGAATCAGATCCCTCACAGGCAGCTCTCTGATCTGCTCGGGCCCAAGTAGTGCTGAGCCCAGCATCCTGTGTCTTAACCCTGCATGTGCGGGACATTCGCTGAGTACGTGAAGGCTTGTTTCCTCGTCGTCTCCACATGCCCTGCACTTGGATGTATCCCTACGCCCAAGCTTGTACATGTGGTAGTTTAAGGTGCCATGACCCGTCAGTATGTGTACCGCTGTTCTGGCATCTCTCCTACTCAGAGCCCTTATGCTCCAAACCAGTTCCCTATTAGGAGTATCTCCCATCAGAGCTCTAGCCTGTCTGCATTTGGACTCAGATTCCACTCTCCAGTGTCTTAGATGTTCTCTGCGGAGCCATTCTTTGATCCTCCCCCTTTCTAGACAAAAGGGGATTCCCAGAGCCGGCCCCGGTCCTACCATCGTTATTTCTGAACCCGCTCTTGCCAGCTGGTCCGCACATTCATTACCCTGGATGCCTGAGTGACCAGGCACCCAGGTAACGATGACTTCTCTCTCTCTCTCTCGCTAGTTTGTTCAGAACGCACCTGCACTCCCGAACCAACCGCGACGTTATTGTCGGACGCCCCAGCGCCTTGATGGCTGCCTGGCTGT